ATGAATCTTCTCAGTTCTAAAGGATCATATGGCCCAACAAGACATTGTATTTAATCTAATTAGTATCATGAGTGACTTTGAGAGTGGGCTTATGACTGCTTTACATCGCAGCTTCCCAAATAGTCGTCACAGGGTCTGTTTGTTTTATCCGAATCGGTGTGTGTGTAGTGTCAAGTGCAGACATTAGGCCTACTGACTGATTACCAGAAAAATCCTGCTGTACAGAAATTGATTCAGAGGCTAATGGCCATTCCATTCCTGTCAATCATCTGTGTTCATGTAGTTGCTGAGACATTGGTATCACAAGCAGTTCAGGAGAACCAAGTCCGTGGAGAATCACTGTTTACATACTGTAAGGAAACGTGGCTCAATAGCTCATTCCCTCTCGCTATGTGAAACCAGTAGAGCGATAACACCAGAACTAACAAAGTAGTGAAGGGATGGCATTGTTGGCAATTAGTAAGCCCCATCCTAATGTGCATGGACGATTTTTAACTATAACCATCCATGTAGGAATCGTTTATATGGGAATCATTCAAGTAGGAAGAAATCGTCTTAGTGGCATGTAATCCTTGCCACAGGGTGTTTATTTACATCTTGACACTGTGTGTATGTTTACATCTTGCCACAGGGTGTTTGTTTACATCTTGACACTGTGTGTTTGTTTACATCTTGCCACAGGGTGTTTGTTTACACCTTGCCACAGGGTGCACTTGTTTACATCTTGCCACAGGTGCGTTTCTTTACATCTTGCCACGGGTGCGTTTCTTTACATCTTGCCACGGGTGCGTTTCTTTACATTTTGCCATTGGGCATTTGTTTACATCTTGCCACAGAATACTTGTTTACATCTTGTCACAGGGTTTGCTTGTTTACATCTTGCCATAGGGCGTTTGTTTACATCTTGCCACTGAATGCTTGTTTACATCTTGCCACAGGGTTTGCTTGTTTACATCTTGCCACAGGGTGTGTTTATTTACATCTTGCCACAGGGTGTGTTTATTTGCATCTTGCCACAATGCTTATCTTACTCGAACACATGTGTGTTACCTTACTCTAACATACGGGGATTATCCAGTTGTGTAGCTTGGTGGGGGGGGGGGGAGAGGGTGAATGCCACCACTGATCAGTTAAATTACATTATCTGTAACAGTTGATGGTTCACACTGATGATGGCCAGCCCACTAAGACGTTCCTGCCCCATTGTGGATAGCAAATAAGTTTTTATCATTTTTAACTTAGAAAAGCTCCGCTCTGCTGCCGACACCGTTACGGGGAGAGTTGCACAGATCCACAAAGCTACCCACAAGTTCGGGAATACTTCAGTAAGTTTCTTTTCATGCAGGAAGGTGAGAAAATCCATTGTTGTCATTCTGCAGCTCCATGGCCAGTTCCCTTCCATCAATGTCTGAGTGTCCCTCATGAGTAAGCGTGTTGCCGAGGGTTTGGCAGTGATCGACGATGTCTTTGTCAGACATGTCTGTGAACACTAACAATACCTTGAACTTTTCATTCGCCTCGCCCAAGGTCTTGAACCTCTCATTAAGAGAGGAAATCGCAGTGTCCACTACCACACTGAAAAATGTAGTCTCCATCCTCTTGAGTGCATCGCTGACAGGTTCGTCTGCACACTCATAGCTAAAGTGTCATTTTTTAGTTCTTAGTCTCTTCTGTTTCAGCACGGTGTCTACGTTCATCGCTTCACAGATTTCTTTAGCAATAGTTAGTGCATCAGCAAAACCTGTATTTCTGTAGCTGACAATATTATCTCTGGTCTTCTTAAGCAGATCTACAGCCACGCCGAGCTGCATCGTAGTCGACTGCATTAGTTTGCTCACGTGCTGAATTTTGCTGAGTATATCATACCACACAACTGAGCAAATGACAAAACGGTATGACCTTACTTCCTCTGCCAACGATTGAGTCTCAAATTTGATGACAGGGTCAGTTGCAGATTCTCTGAGCTCCAAAAGTGCTTCTCTGATTTGCACAGGTTGATATCTAATTGCCTCTACACTTTTTACTCGGCTTTCCCATCTGATGTCTGACCACGATTTCAGAGTAATATTGACATGTTTTAAAAGAACTTCCCACCTCTGAGGGGAGACTGAAAACAATGTGAATACTTTCGTTAAATATCCGAAGTAACAAGTTGCATCTAGGGAGCTCTTGGCAGCGTCAGCTAATATCAATTTCAAATTATGGGCACCACACGGGACAAATAAGGCCCAAGAATTTTGTTGAAGAAGCCTGGCTTGAACTCCTTTGACGTTTCCTCTCATATGTGCTCCATTGTCGTAAGATTGACCTCGACAATCCTCAAAAGAAATGTTCAGTTGTTTCAGTCTTCCGAGTAGAAAGCATGACAATTTAGCCCTGTAGACTTCTCTACCTCAAGGAACCCCAAGAAATGCTCCTTTATTGTTGGCTTGTCTTCAAGTGCCACTATCCTGATTATGACAGAAAGTTGCTCTTTGTGACTCAAATCAGGGGTGCAGTCTAAAATAATGGAGAAGTATTTCGATGCTTTGATATCGTCCACGATTCTCTCAGTAATCTTTGCACTGATAATGTTAATCAGTTCATTTTGGATCATTTGGCCAAGGTAGTGAGAGTGACTGTGATTGCCTGCATTATTTTCAACCCTACTTAAATGATTCTTCATAACTGGATCAAATTTAGCCAAAAGTTCCACTTCTTGGAGAAAATTACCATTGTATGGACAGTTAAGTTTTTCGGTTGACCCTCTTAGAGCCAAATTTCTTTCAGCTAGAGACCGAATAATCGCCACTAGTCTAGTGAGGACTTGGGGCCACCTGTTCCACTCAGCCATTAACATTTCCATTTCCCGTCGGTCTATCGTCCTTCCTCTTGCAATGTTGACCTCCAGTTCCTTCCATGTTTTAGTGTGTTCTATGCTACTTTCACATGTGCTGAGCAAATGACTGGCATTTTTCCAATCATTGATGCCTTCTTCAGCCATTCTAACATGTTTCGTATTAAACATTTTACAACAGAAGCAAAAAAGTTTATCCTGTTTCACCGAATAAATTAGCAAACTTCTTTGGATCTTCTCTCCATTTACTAAGATTTGGCAAAAGTAATCATGTTGACATCTTCTCCCATCCTTTTTTGGAAACACATAATTAGGATCAACCTGGTAAGGTCCTCTGCGAACAAGTTCTGCTTTTTCCTGGATGGACATTGAGGATGGCCAGTCAGTGGGGTCAACAGGTGCAGCCCTGGATGCAGCACATTCGAGCTGTGGTGGTGACACTATATCTGTTGGCTGTGAAGAATGGAGCTGTGGTGGTGACAGTGTATCTGTTGGCGCCCTTAGCATCTTTGGCGCCCTTAGCATTTGCTAACTTCGCCTAATGGAAGCGGCGGCCCTGTGTAATCCAAACCAAAAAGAACAAAGGTGGAATGCCTTGTGTGCAGTACAGGGTAGTGTGCTTGACAGCAACTTTCATCTGAAACATAACTAGAAGCTTCACTTGGATTTAATTAAATCATGGAAGTAGTACAAGGGCAAAAACTCCAAAGACGTCCAGGGACATAAGGTTTGGAGAAATATCAGAACCTAATCCAGGCCCAAAGAGATTTGTATATCCATCCTTTAGAAACTCCAGTTTATGTTTTCAGTGAGAAGGATGGTACAGATGCCTTCACAGAAAAGGCACCAAATTCATTATTGAAAACTGGAGTACCTCTACCAACTGCAAAAGATAAGGAAATGCTTATCCTAATACGACAACCTGATGCCAGTTGTGCAGTCCTGTGACGAATTAGGACTAAATCAAAATAATACTTGCACAAATTTGTTTGTTTTTTTCTTCTCAGAGTGACATTCCTGTCGGAAATTAATAACCCTTCCCCTCTCCAGACCAACCGATGTCACTGGTATTACCTCACTTTAACACATGGGTGTTATCTTACAGTACTCTAACACACGGGCATTTTCTTACTCTAATAAACAGACGCATCTTACGGCAATATACGCAAGAATCACCACGTAATATACTGTACTGTATAGTGCCGTATAGGCTTATCTTACAGCTAATACAACCGCACAAAACAGAGATGTAAGAATATATTTTGGTTGCCATAAAGAGGCAAAAACTTTCAGTATGACATCAGGTAAATGTTACAATATTATAAACGGCCGAATGTTCCACTATTCATTGCATGTAAATCCTAACAACATAATACATGTACAGGCAAATCTTACAGTATTGTACAAGTAAATCTTATTACACAAGCCAATCCTATATGAGGCTAATATTAATACATGGGCTTACCTTACATTTTATACACATCATATTAAGATCTTCTTGGGCCAAACCTTACGATATTTGCCAGGTTAATCATCAGATAATTTCATGGGAAATTTTACATTAACACACAGGAATACAGCATATACTTTATGATAAATTTAACTTTACTATTCAACCTCAAAACTAGTACCTAACTAGTGCTTATGGTGAAGTGTACTTACACAAAACATTGTGATGAAATCTCTTGTCGCTTCTTATTTTTTGTATTAGACAGACATGCCTAACCACTTTATTACCCAACTCTTAGGTAAGGATAAATACTGTATGTAAATTAGTTCTGATGAATTTACTTTAGAATGTATAATGACAGACCTGTGAACAACTTTATCAAAATTAAATAAATAAAAATTAAATAATAATAATAAAACTAATGCTGGAAATAGAGTTGTTACCATAAAAAAAACAGGCACTCATTCAAATGTCCAGTTTAAATGTTAATAACATGCTGAACCCAGTCTCACAAAAAAGACATATGTGTCAAATTATTTTCTCACTTCACATTGAATTCCCCAAAAATTTACACATATGCAAGTACAGTACTGTATACTGTACAAAGTACACATATACTAGTTGGAAAAAATCCTGGAAGAGATTGTGTGCACTACCCATCTTATAAGGGAAAGAGCATCATAACAAATACATGTGAATCTACATTTTTTTCTTTTCATTTGAGGAATATCAATACACCTGAGGATGCTTAAAAACACACCTTTTCAAAGAAATGGTGAAGATCAACACAAAAGATTTATTTACCTGTAATGATCGTGGGTGATGCGGGTGGAGCTGAGAGGCCTGGATCATGTCGTCCAGGGTATCGTTTAGCACGTCCAAACTATCTTCACTCTCCTCCTCTTCCTTCTCCGACACTGTCTTAACAAGGCTGTCTGAGTTGTTCTCAGATTCTGATGACTGAACAAAAATGAATAAATATTAGATGTTGTTTTAATAACCCACAAATTATAAAATATTAACTACAGTATACTATGGGTATACCCTGTACAGTACTGTAATTGTATACACTACAGCAATTAGGTTACTTAAACTGTACTACCTCAGAAGTTTTAAATCAATAAAACTTCATCAATCTGAAGACCAAAATGGATTTAGTAAGGGAAAAGGAACTAGAGAAGCTATATTTGGCTTGAGAATTTTGAGTGAAAGATCTTTAAGAGGTCCAAAGAAATTTGTATATCTGCTTTGTTGAAGGTAAAACACAATAAACTTATAGAGATCTTGGAAAATACAGGTATTTAATGAAGGAGATATTAGAATTCTAAAAATTCTTTACTGGCAAAAGTTCAAAGTTAGACAAGGAGTAAGACAAGGCAATGTTCAATCTCCAACATTGTATAATATATATTCAGAATTCTTATTGAGATAAGTTATTAGCAATAATGAAGGCATAAAAGTTAATAGTATAGTAATATCAAATATATTCTATGCAGTTGATACTGCTCTCATTATGGATAGTGAACAGGCAATACAAAAACTGGTTAACAGATTAGTGGAAAGAGATGAAGAATATCGTTTGAGTTACTGCTGTAAAGATGAAAGTAATGGTTGTCTCAGAATTGGAAATAAATCCTACAAAAAAAATATTGTGTATTTGGGAAGTAACTTTAGCTGTGATGGTAGATATGCAAAAATATTATAACATGAATAAGTCAAGCAAAAACAACATTTAATAATCTATAAGACCCAACAAAAAAAACATTAACTTCAATTTGAAAAGTTATACAGTACCCTGTATATGGACAGACTGTTGTATCAGTCAGATGCATGGACACTTTCAGCAGACACCAGAAAGAATGTTAACAATAAGTTACACTTACAGGAAAACAAATGAAGAAGTACTGTACTAAAGTTAGCAAAAACTTAACGAGAAATACTTGAAATCTACAGAAAAAGAAAAATTATATACTTTGGTCATATAATAAGAGATGATGGGTGAATAACAAAAATATTGATAACAGGCAAATTTAAGGGTAGGAGGGCCTGGGGAAGGCAGAAAGTGGGATGCATGAATGAAATTTAAAAAATTGGGTCCCCAGAAAGATACAAAATCTTGGAGAATTGGTAAAAACAGCCCAAAAATGTTTAGAGTGGAGGACTGTGTTTGTCAACCTTTAGATATGAGGGCAGTACTCTGATGGATTATCATCAGAAATTCACAGCCATTTTCCATGCTTGTGTAGGTTAGCCAGTGTTATCTAATGGCAGTTCTCCATGCTGAATGATCTCTTGCATCCACTCTTGTTAAGTTCTTTACTGTCATTTCTTCCAACCTCCCACAATGTCATTCTTGGCCTGTCCCTAGTTCTTCTCCCCTCCATATCTAAGATTCATGCACCTCTTGACCCAATTGGTCTCATCCATTCTCTCTACATGCTCAGATAATCCCAGCCTACCTCTACACAAAACTTAGCCAATACAGTACTGTATTCATAATACCCAGCAGCTCTCTTAGCTCCCAACAGTTTCCTATCTTTCAGTGTCACATTACACATGCACTTGACCATTCTCATTTCAGTTTGCTCAAGCCTGCATAAGTCATGCTCTTTAACTGCCCACATTTCACTGCTGTACAACATCATACTTCTCATGCTAGTTGCATGCATCTTTTCTTTCGTGTGGAGGGAAGGTCTTCTTGCTGTCAATAAAAGCAGCAATTCTTTAAACTTCCTCCATCCCTTTCTGTCTCTTGCAATTGAGCTAGCTTCAACACCCCCATCCAGCACTAATCATATCACTTATGTAACAGAACTCATCGACACACTCCAAGGATACATCCCATATGTTAAGTTTCTCCAACCTTGCTAATGCCACATGGTTACATTACACCTAAAAGTCAACAACATCCTGCAGTCTTCCATCTACTCCATTGTACCTCTTGTGTCCCCACTTTCCACACCACTGCCATTACCGAGTTACTGCCAACACCTTTTTTTACAGATAACACATGGCCATTTTCCACTTTCTACTATGGGTCCCTCACACACACACGCAAGTAATCTAAACTTTTGTTTTTACCACATTCAATCTCAAACTCTAAAAAACCTACAGAGTAGTCAGTTTATGAGTGGTAGAATAGAGAAAGAGTTTCTCAATTGCAAATTAAAGAAAGCCTAATTTGTGAAATTTAATGAAAAGAACTACCATATGTCTTAGGGTTTTTTTCAATTTCAACAAACAATGTGCACTAAATACTAACATCCATATTAATAAGTTTACTTTATATAGTAAATCCTCGACATATACAAGGGAAGCGTTCCTGAAAACCCTCGCATAAGTCGAAATCGTATACAGTATACTGAATACTTAGCTAAATGGGGAATAAACAGGATGAATTCCATAACCCAAAATGAAAATGTTCCAGACCCATTTTCAAGACAAATAAACCATAAAACAAATCTCTACAATATAATTTTTAAAATACTGTAATAGATAAAGCAAGAGTACAGTACAGTGTACAGAACCAAACAACAAAAACAGATACATCAACTTGGGTAGATGAGGTGATGGAGATGGTGGTGGTAGAGGTTTTACATAGTGGGTGATGGTGTTGGAGTGACATATGCAGAGTCATTAGGGTTGGAATCCATATCAGAGAGTATGACTTCTTGCATAAGGCTGAATTTTACTCGCATTAATTGAATTCCTGGTAGGAATAGGGTCTCCGTATACTGTATAAGCGAATTTGTATATGCTGAACTTGTATATATCAAGGACTTACTACAGTACAACATTTTATGATATCCTTTGAAGACAGAGATTTCCTTATTTGCTCCAAAACTTTTACAATCTTATTCACTTTATCAGGTCTTTTCCCACTCTCATGAAGGATGGCAAGAATTAAAGGCAAGGAAAGACACTTCTCTCAATTGCTGTCATTCAAGTACAGTACAGTACAGTATTCCTACTGACATAACAAATGTGTTCTTCCATAAGAACACCCCAAATATCTATCTGATTTACCCGTCATTTTGCTCAACCTAAGCTCAACCTTCAACAGTATGTTCATCCCCATAAACCCCTCACTGCTATGAAATCTGGTTATTCATATATTGTACTGTACAGTTCTGTACTATACTATACTGTACTATACTACACTGTACTGTACAATACTGTACCATACTACACTGTACTATACAATACTGTACACTGTACTGTACAATACTGTACTATACTTCACTGTACTGTACAATACTGTACTACAGTATACTACACTGTACTGTACAATACTGTACTATACTACACTGTACTATACAATACTGTACTATACTACACTGTACTGTACAATACTGTACTATACTACACTGTACTGTACAATACTGTACTACAGTATACTACACTGTACTGTACAATACTGTACTATGCTACACTGTACTGTACAATACTGTACTATACTACACTGTACTGTACAATACTGTACTACAGTATACTACACTGTACTGTACAATACTGTACTATATTACACTGTACTGTACAATACTGTACTACAGTATACTACACTGTACTGTACAATACTGTACTATACTACACTGTACTGTACAATACTGTACTACAGTATACTACACTGTACTGTACAATACTGTACTATGCTACACTGTACTGTACAATACTGTACTATATTACACTGTACTGTACAATACTGTACTACAGTATACTACACTGTACTGTACAATACTGTACTACAGTATACTACACTGTACTGTACAATACTGTACTATACTGTACTGTACTGTATATCCCTGCTTCACTTCGAGTGCCTTCCTCTCTTCAGCCTTCCACCTCCTTTATGATCTTCCTATGTTCTTCTTACCATTAGCCTCTGAATTATAAAGTATATAATCTTTTTATCAATCTATCACATTCCATTCCCTCAAAATGACCATACCACGAGTGCAAACTCTGATCCACTTTCTGCCGTACAACTCCTTAATTTTTTCATCTCCTTATTTCTAGATCTCTAATTCTTTGCAACTTATTCACCCCAAATCTTGCTCTCAAACACTTTACTTGTCAATTCAAATCACATATTCATGAAAAAAGGTTGACTAATTTATTCTCTTGTTTATCATCATCTGTGCCTCCTTCAATAAACTTCTCTCTCAGTACAGTACAGTACAGTACAGTACTCTTAATACTTTCTTTCATCTGCTACTGTGAAATTCAATTCATCACGTATTGTACCATTTACTGACATCTCCACAACTTGATATCTTTAACACTTCATTTCCTATATTATAATATCCCAATTCAAGCTAACATTCCTTTATCCTTGCCGTCCTTCTCTACCTACAGTATTTTCATCACTTAAGTTTTGTTCACATTCACTATTAACATTTCCGGAGTACATATACAGTACATTTAAACCCTCTCACTGGTATATTTTTTTCTTTTCGAAGGAGCCAGTAGAGCTTGGTGTTCAGCAGTTCTAGATTTATGACCTAAATCTACAATTGTGGCTTGTAACCATGATTTTGAGCATCTTTTAAACAATGCAGAAGAGTAGTGCCAGACTATCTGTGAGCAAAATGGTACTCACAAGCAACTAGATAATATACAGTACTGTATATGATAAACACAAAATATAAGCAACAGCTATATATATACAGATATATATTTTTTTTTCTTTATCAATCAATTAAAGAATCAAGATTTATGACTATAGATCAAAATTTGTGTAAATAAAATTGTGTTAGAGAAACAAAAAATGAGCTTCTCTTTTAAGCCTCCTTCACACAGTCATTTTTTGTCACACAACTTAGAAATCAATGGAGTTCAATGAATGTCTGCGTGTAAAGGTCCCATTGAAATCCACTGATTTCTAAGTGGCCGTGAATAAATAAATAAATAAGGCAGCTCATGTGAAAGAGTCCTTAAATGTAGCACTTGTAACCAGCACCTTTAAAATTTTTAAAGACAGTACAGTACAGGCAATCCCCGTTATTCATAGCCTCGGTATTCATAACCCTGTTTATCCGCAATCAATTTATTGTTACCCATTTCCACTATTCGCAATGGTTGCCCCGTTTATTCGAAATTCTTCCGAACAAAAATTCTGAACCGCATGCCTTAACCGTAGCGTAGGACAGCATGTGTACGTGTGTACGTATTCCTCCACCATACGCTCCCGCTCGCCTCAGTCTCACACGTGCTGGTGTGTTTTGTGTGATCTCGCAGTTGTGTTTTGTGTGATCTTGCAATGCCTAAGCGACCAGCTACTAAAACTCCCAGCAATGTTGCTAAGAGATCACGTGTGGCAGTTACGTTGGACGTGAAATTGAATATCGTAAAAAGACATGAACAAGGAGAAGGAACGTCAGTGATTGGGCGCATGCACGGCTTGGCTCCCTCTACGGTGTATTCTATAGTTAGAAGCGCCGACAAGATCAAGGAGATGGCCGGGTCTGCAACACCACCGACGGCTACGAAGGTGACGAGGTTCCGTGATGCTGAGATGGAGAGTATGGAGCAGATGTTGAGCACGTGGATTGACGACCAGACCCAGCGCCTTAAAACACCTTTATCGCAACGCATGATTCAACAGAAGGCAGTGGAGAACAACAGCTTTCAGTGCAAATTGACAGCGATAATGAGTGAGGTGGCTGACGACCCTGGCAGTGAAGAGAGTGAGGTAGCTGACAACCCTGGCAGTGAAGAGAGTGAGGTGGCTGACGACCCCAGCCTCCTCTCACCCCAGTAAACCTTCACCCTCTCCCCTAATGCCAACTTCAGCAAGCAAGCAACACAACACATCAGGGGTAAATTAACAGTCTACGCTTAAAACTTAACTTACACACCTACGCACATAAACATTCAAACACTCAAACATGTGAAGTACCCCAGTATACTGTACTTGTAAACATATACTGTACACCTAATAAACTCAGTGTTTTTTATTGATATTTATTTGATATTATGCCCTTGTTTCTTTATTTATTTTATGTTCTAAATGTATTGAGTAGAACAAGCGTTAAAATCTGACGACCGTGACCACCGCGATGCCAGTATCCACCCTATTTACATTATTTCTTATGGGAGAAATTGCTCCGCTATTTGCAATTTCCATATTCGCAATGAGTTTCATGCCCGTAACCTTTGCGACAAGTGAGGCAGCCCTGTACTATTATCATTTCATCAGAACTTATTTAATGCTCAGTTTAAATAAATATTATCTAATGCTTATATTTTCTAGATACAAAGCAAAAACATACCTTCCAAACGGTCTCTCCAGTTTCAGAGCAGTCGAGTCCAACAAATTGAAGTGCCTCGTCAAGATTGAACTCTAGATTAAAATCTGCCACAGTCTCGTTGAGGGTGAAGGAAGGCGAATTAAGGGATGAGACAGGTTCAAAGGTCACGTCACCTCCACTAATTTGACTCTCAGGTGAAAGTACGTGCTCACCTGCATAGAAAATAGAAAAAGGAATTAACAGATAATAATAACACAGCCTCAAAATGAATGAATAAACTGCATGTGTAAAAAAAAAAAAAAATCTGTACTAAAAGATGATAACTCAACTATGTAAAAATGTGTGGGAAGATAAAGTTTCTTGAGTATAAGTGTGAAAACATGCTAACGCTGTGTTCGTCAAAAACTTTCATTTACAGTATCTCAAAAAGTATCTGCCAGGATGGGTCCGATGACTTTCGGAATGCTACATGCAACTTGTGATGTCCCAGGATGGTTGGTATGTGTGGCTCTGTGACATACTGATCCTACTACATTTGGTAATCGAGCATCACATTAAGTACACCAAAATAAATACTGTACACATTGCATTACTTTTGATACATTACAGTACAGTATATACCAAAGTAAATGCATGTCCCAATATCTATCATCCATGGTATCATAATGTTTCACACAGACTGTGGACAGATACTTTTTTGAGATACTGTACAGTAGTGCAGAGTATATAAATGATACAAAGTATATAAGGTGTCTAACATTCTAATACATGTATCAACACTGACAAAGTTTGGAAGAAAGTAGATGGTGCTGTTATTGTCTTACCTGTGATATTACTGAACAAGTTGTTATATAAAACACAAAATATGGAAAAGAAATCTGAATTTGTGCCAAACTAAAGAAAGATGACAGTGAATGACAGTGTTTAAAACATTATACAGTACATACAGTACAGTAATGTGAATGCTAACAAGAGCAGCACTTGTAGTTTGTAAATCATAAAGGAGTACAGTTTTAAAAATTTTATTCAACAATATTTTCTTCATTATAATGGACTTACTTTTAGTTTCTGATTACTGTACTTATTTCAAATTATAATGAAGGAACAAGAAATATACAGAAGTGATTAAATAAGTACACCTCATGTGCAGTACTGTTTATGATCACCATGAATCTTTTCATCCACCTTACCACACAAAGGTGCCTGTACAGTAGTTGCCTAATTGTAGGAGCACACACACACACATACTGTGTATAGATGTACATGTTTCACAAAGCAATTATTAATAAATACACATAAGAACATGGAAGGCCTTGAGCCCATTTCTATTTTCATGTTTTCTTCAAGAATACATTATTAGTGAATATAATCTCAAAACCTTCAGATAGCACATGTATACAGTATCTAGCTAAGGATTCCACCCAGAGCAGTAACCGCTACCACAACAAACAAGTAACTAAAGATATGAAAGAAAGAAGATAAATATGGTAATGCTAAAAATACTGATAAGAAACAGGATAACAAATTTGGAGATTTCACACTAAAAACTAGCTGTTTACTTCTGATAGCAAGCCCATGTAGAAAGCATCCATCTGTCCCTGAAACTCAATAATTATCTTATTTTCTTAACTAATGTAATTCATATGCATGAACATACCCAAGTCTTTAACCCTATGGATGCATTGGTTGACTCCAATTGAAAAAGCATTATCATCACTGAATATGACAGTCAACTGTAGTTAACAGATGTCAAAAAATGTTTCCCCTTACCCAGCCATCTGCCATTTTCTGAGTCATGTAATGAGCACGAGACACCCGGGGAAACAATGGAAACAAGCACTTTGTAATCAACTTGGACCAAAATAACTTTGTTCTTTGTTTGTTGTATATACCCCTGTATCTTAATTCTGATCCAAAAAACAAAATACAGGGTAGTCTGATAATTTACAATGTTTTGACAAGAGATAAGAGACAGCATCCTATTTATTCTGATGGGTAGCCCTAAAACTCTGACACTTTCTCCCATCTAATAGTTTTCTCCCCATTCCCTTCAGGACACCAAGAGTAGGAAGAGGAAGAAATATTGCAGATTATGTATAAAAATACAGGTACTGTACTATGAATGTACAGTACTGTACAATACTTGCATACCAGTACTATACAGTATTTAGCAGTAGGTAAATACTACACGAGAAAGAATATAGTACAGTAATGTACAGTGGGGTATGCTATAACGAAAGGATCCTACTATGAATATTCCTATAACGAACGGTTTTACCTATAAAATTGAGAATGCTATAACCAACGAAACTCCTACAACGAACATAATTTATTTATTTTTTTTTTTTTTCTAATTTATTGTTTTATTATTACAAATATTAATGATATTCTTTATTTCAGGGGTTTAGATGCATATTTATGCACTTTTTTACAATTTTTACAATTTTATATTATATTTTTCAGTGTTAAGTGGTTGTATTTGGGGGCCTGGAACGGATTAATCCTATAACAAACGAATGCTATAACGAACAAGGTTCTAGAACCAATTAGATTCGTTATAGCATACCCCACTGTATATGGATTTGGATGACAGCGAGAAAAAACTGAACTGGAAAGCAATAAATAAATTAATTAATAAATACAGTAAAGTATACAAGAATCACACTAAAACAGTCATTAAAAAGTGAAAAATGAGTGAGAAACAATAAAACTGAAAAGCATATACAGTAAATGGTAAAGTACTGTATGGAAAATATGAAATTCAGAAGGTCTATCTAACTGAGGTATGAAATATTTTTCTTCCTATACTGGGCCTTAGTGGTAAAAAAAAATGTACTGGGGGGCTTAATAAATGCATTTTTTCCCCTCGCCAACAGTAGGTGCCATTTTCTATTATGGAGTCACTGTCTCATCACCTGCACACTCTCCCCAGACTTTACTCCTCCACTCCTTAATACTGTATCTCTCTTCACTATGTTTCTTGGTCATCTCTTCCCTCTCTATTCCTTTACTTTAGTTGTTTTTAAAGCTGTTTTTTAATAGTCTTCTTGTTTAATTACATGTCTTAAGTTAGGAAATTTTCTATATGATGTCATTATTTTCTCTAACACTTCCTGGTATTATTTCATATTATCCAAGTGTTGGGGTATTCTCAACATTTTATTGCATGTCTTTACCTCAAATACTTTTAAATTTCCTCTGAACTGTCTTAAACCCTTCACTACAGGAATGCCACTATTAATACTGTACTGTATTTTATTTGACTAACACCAGCTGATTATATTCAGCTCAGAGGGGAGCCTGTACACCAGGGGGGTAATGCCATACATTCTGCCTATCTGTCCAATTCAAGTAGTACTGTAATAGTGTCCATAATCAGCCACACATCTTCATCTTCTGCTGGTTGTACTGTATCATCAGCATAATTAAAGTTACATACATATAAATAATAATTATTTCCTTCCATGGACCCTCTCTTATTCAGAACTTCACAGACTAGCATCTCTGTATACATGAATAAGTTAATATAAATTAGTGACAACACACTGCAAATAGGCTATTTATTGATTTCGTTTTTTAAGTACCAGGTCGCTAATAACAAAGAGGAGTCTTTATCTTATATAACACATCCATAAATAATAACAGAAAGAGGTTTAGTGTTGATTTGCATTAAACCTTTTCCCACTTACAATAAAGACAATATGATATAAAGTCAACCTGTGTTATAAATCACAAAAAATTTGGTATGAAATATAATAAAAATAAATTCTGAACTGAATCAGAAAGCAAAAACCTGAAGAACAGATGGAGGTGTGAGTATAGTACTGTACTGGCTCAGTGTTCAACAGTGAGGACTTACTTCATGATGCCAGATAAATGTCTATAATGAAGGAAGAAGGTGTCTGAGGGAAACATGTAATAGGCAGCAGGATGCACTGTATATACTTGTACAATAATGTAAAGTAAATATGATTACTGTACTAAAAGTCTGAGGAAACTGGAAATATGAGACAGAACAGAAGAGACTCATAGGCTTGTTTGGAATAAAATACTGTACTAAATAATAAAAGAGACATAGAAAATACTTCACCTAAAAAAGCATTTCAAAATGAATCCTAACATCTACAACCAATAAAGTTGAAATGATAATAACTAAAGTACAGAAAAATGAAAACACTGAAGTATTACATTTTCTTCTCAAAATAAATATTGCCATACCAACACACTAGTACCAATTTGCCAGCAATATTTCTATTATGCAATTAAGTCAATTAATACAGTACTATAGCTGATTTAACTGTTAAACAACCAATTACAACAGTTGAATCAAACCTTATTGACCAATGTGTGAACCTCAAACTATCGATACAATAAAATAAATTTCACATATAAATAAATATTCAATAATTAACTTCAAAACTTTAATGACTCAGTTAAGCTTATCAATTATTTCTATATTGTACTCATCAAGTTCTCCCAACTGAAGATATGAACAGTATTCTTGTGTTACTTATTAGCTCTAGCTGAAATTAAATCTATGAAAAGAAAAAAGTTACAAACTTTCCTGGCTTGTTTTATTCTTCTGTCACTGTAAACACAACTATGAAGATAACCAAAATACTTCACTGTAATTTTCTTATTCCATAACTATAAGACCTGATATATACCTTTAAAGGCATAGGTCTTATACTACCATTCATCTTTTACTCTATATTCACAATTATGTGAAAAATATATAAATAAATCTTTAGCTGACTACAGCCCACCTCCCGAGGCCCAGCAACATTAGTGTGCCTCCTGCCAGCTTGGACCTACCTGGGCCTCCCTCACCAGACCATCAATGGTCCCAATATGATTAATGATTCTCCCCTGGAAGCACAATGAACCAAAATCGTTTCCACACAAACTGAGAGATGGCCAGTACTGTCCACAAGCATGTGCTGTTGGCAATTATACAGTATTTCTAATATAAACAACCAATACTCTTACTAACAACATAGCAAAATACATTAAATTTTCTATTAAAAAATTATATCCAAGCACTAATAATTCTGAAGAAAAAATGAATACAGTAATATACATTGTATTCCTACAAAAACCAATTATAAGGAAAAGAACTAACTATAATATGGGTTCACACTAAAACATTAACAAACAAAAGCAGAGGAACTACGAAAACACAGTACTGTACATGTACTGTACTGTACTGTAC